CCTGGGCTGGGACTGGTCCCGCAGGCGCAGGGTAGCAGGAAGCTCTCCACACACTCACCGGACCTGGGCTAGGACTGGGTCTGGGGGTTCCTGGAAGTCGGCAGAAATTCTGTGCCTATTCATTTCATCCAGATCCATGAAACAAAAACAGATATTACCTGTTCAGTCCTAAATTTACATTTAGGCAAATATAACTTTGTTTGATACATTTTTTCTCTTAAAAATCTAATGGTAATCCATAATTTAACATGTTAAAAATAAGAATTGCTTTTCTTTCCAATCCCTTCCCCCTTTGTTAATACGCTAATATTAAAACCCCAGTGTTAATATGTGGCATGAAAAGTTATTCAGTTGCTCATCCCCATCAGGAGCATACATTTTTCATTCTTGACTTGTCCTTGAAATCTATGTGCAAATATTAGCATGTAAAGTGAAAGCTTTCAAAAAGATTCTGGTTCCTTTGTTTTTACCTAGCACACAACAGGCTAGCATATTATGGGAGAATGTGCCAAAGAGAGCAAGTGGGAGAGCTGGGAAAGCTTGGGCAAGCCTGGGGACTTACTTTCTTGGGGAAAGTAGGAAGAGTGTGAGACCAAAGCATGCTCAGAAGCCAGGGACCAAGGTAAGGAACTCAAAGTAAAGACTAAGACAGCTTTTAGGAATCAGGAGGCATATGGTTTATCAGAATGACAATGAATCATTCTCAAACCCAAGCAAAAATAATACCTCAAAATTAAACTTGCCCTGGCATCAGACAGGAAAACTGTGATACGGTTCCTGCTATAACAGTATAAGAATTAGACCTAGAAAAGAACAAGAGAAATAGAAAACACTACCCATCCACTGGGGGATTGTACAAGAGTTGGGATAAGGGCAGATCCTGGTACAGAAAACTAATAGTTCACTTTGGTTAAAGGATGTAGGGTCAATCCAAAAAGAAAATTACTTTCTTTTTTTTTTTTTTTAGTTAATGGTCTTTTTATTGGAAAAAAAAAAAAAGACTAGCATTTACAACTTGGAATGGACGTAAATTGTCATTTCTCGAACAGCAACGTTGATGGTTGTGCTGAAGTCCACAGCCACAGCCTACTCTGCTGGCTCCAAGTCATGATCCAGAAGGTTTTAAAAACAGAGTCCAAAGGTGCTCCCTTGTAAAAGATTTCTTATTAAAAATTTGTGTGAGCGTGACAGCCTGACACCCATTTTACTTTAGTACAATGCAGACATTGCTAAACCAACATACGCGGGCATGCCACCACGGTGTCATTGTCACCATGGGTTGGAGCACAGGGAGAAAACAAGAGGACCATCCTACCACTGGGACTACATCTCAAGTCTATCCTTCACCCACTTTCTGCACATCATCCTGAGGTAAACCAATTTTAAATGTGTTTGTTTTCAGTAAACCAGCCATGACAAGTTATACTAACAAATTAAACTTGACCCCATCTGAATAGGTTTTGAATTCGTTTTTTCATTTTTCGACTTTAATACAAATGCTTGACTGTGCCCAATTGTCAAGCTGCATGCATGAAAAACTGGCCAGCCCAGACAGTGTTATTAATCATTAGCAAATGGAACTTTAAGGAGTCCACTAAGTGCTTCCTTATCATTAAGGTAGTACAATTATTTATATTGTAAAACTGATGTGTAGCTTGATCTTTAGGGGATAGGACCACTAACCAATACATGCAGATTTTGTGTGTGGACAGAAGGTACTTTTGATATTCAGTTTTGCTATATAGAAACAGAATGAATAAATGAACTTTTTTCTTTTTTTTTGCAAGAGGTAAGTAGAAGATTCAATTTGATTCTTCTAGAGGGGGGAAAAGTAGTTGAAAGTAGGTCTTCATTTTGCAGTCATCATCTGTACGAATTCTTCATGGTTGACTTGTCCGTCTCCATCAATATCTGCTTCTCGGATCATTTCATCTACTTCTTCATCTGTTAGCTTTTCTCCTAAGTTTGTCATGACATGACGGAGCTCCGCTGCACTGATGTACCCATTTCCATCCTTGTCAAAGACTCGGAATGCCTCACGGATTTCTTCTTCGCTATCTGTATCTTTCATTTTTCTAGCCATCATAGTTAAAAATTCTGGGAAGTCAATGGTGCCATTACCATCGGTATCCACTTCGTTGATCACATCCTGCAGCTCAGCTTCTGTTGGGTTTTGACCCAGTGACCTCATGACAGTTCCTAATTCCTTTGTTGTGATGGTGCCATCACCATCTTTATCAAATAGGGAGAAAGCTTCCTTGAATTCAGCAATCTGCTCTTCAGTCAGCTGATCAGCCATGGTGCGAGCGAAGGGAGGAAGAGCAGAGCGAGCGAGGGTGGATGCACCAGTGCAAGGGCTGTGACGGCAGGGGTGCCTCGGCTTCAGCCGCTGCTAAGGCACGGTGTGCGCTCGGAGCTGTGCTGCCGCCGCCACCCGCGCCGCCACCCGACTGCGAGTAACGGCACCGCGCACACGAGACTCCCGGCACCTCTGTCCGAAAATTACTTTCTTAACACCAGTAATGACAATTAGAAAATTCCACTTGTATATCAGCTCAAAGAGTATACAGTACTTAGAATCAACTTCTGAAAATAATTTTTGCTCAGTTTCTAGAATGTAAAATAATTTTGCTTTTTATACAAGGGTAAATAAGACCAAATAATTATAGAAAACCAAATATACTTGCATTAGTGTCACAACTGATATAGATGAAGAAAGTGAATTTCTAGTTAAAACACACACACACACACACACACACACACACACACACTTTACTAAAATGTTGCCAAGTATCCATGGAGCCTTTGGCATCTTAATTTGTTCTCAGGGTAGCTTCTAACAATCCACTTGTAGTGGTAACCAAAATATAATACACTAGCTGATTACTACCTCAGTTAAGAAAATAAAGTTCAATTATTAATGAGAATAGCAAATGCAATGATGAGGTACAGGCAAATGTGGAGAAGAAATAGCAGTATCTTTGCTTGATCAAGATTAAATTCGGAAAGAACTTCAATTTTTGAAGAACATGAACTAACATCATTCTCTGAAGAAGCCCTTATAGGTATATCCTTCAGCCTAGAAGACTGTAGCTCTAGGGCCAGGGAGATAGCTTAGTAGAATAAGCACTTGTCTGGCAAGCGCAAGGCCCTGAGTTCAATCCCCGGTACTGAAAAAAAAAAAAAGTGTAGCCCTAGAAGCATCACTTGCTTTCTACATAACTTTTTATAATTTTTTCACTGAAAAGAGAGTCTACCTTAACAAAATTAAACAAATCAAAATGAAAGAACCTTATAGATGATGTGTTTACCTTAAAACTAAGCTTACAGAATTGTGCTATGCTAACTATCCTACCAACTTAATACATATTTTTAAAAAGAGGATTAAGTGTAGCTCAATACAACCTGATTACATTTTAAAATGTAAAAATATTTAGAGTAGGATAAAGTGTGAGCACTTTTAATGTGAAAGCATTACATAAATGGTAATAAATACTCAACTGCAATAAACTTCTACATGTGTGGGTGTATTAGTGAAGAAAGAAGATAAAACTGCCAAAGAAAAATTTTGAGTTACTGTGTACCTATCTTTATGTTACTGATTTATGAGAAAGTAAATATTAATTAGTAAGGAAATTCATGACACCAGACTATCTAACATAGTGAATCACAAAAGCTAAATCAGAATATTATCACATTTTCAACCTCTTTTTCTAAGTCATTAATTAAAAATAGTCCTTTTATGTGTGAGTCCACAGCTATTGTGTAAGAAGCTTAAATGTATTTGACACCATAACTGAAAATGAAAAGAACTATTTTCCTGAGTCTATCCAGTGGTTGTAAATTAAATAATTTCAAATCTGTCTCAGAACACTTTTTCTATCCTCAATCTGAATAGTAAGAACAAAGGACTAAATTAGAAAAGGCTAGTGCAGGGTAAGGATTTTTTTCTGTCAGCTTTCCAAAGTTGTGTACATTTTGGCATTAAGTGACTTGTGGAGAATATTGCCTAAATGGTTTTTAATTTAAATAAAAGAAATAAAGTAGGATTATTTAAATTCATAAACATTCTGGTTTCTTTTCTGAATGATCAGTTAAAAGTTCTATGGACAAAATATGCAGAGAGATTGAGAGAGACAAAAATCTATTTACTATTTCAATTATATATTCCCTCAGTAAAGGGAGTATTTGACTTTGACTTCTATACTTTTAAATGTCTAATAGAGACTGTATAACTAATGTTTCTTCTTCCCAGGTTGAATCTGTATCTAAGCCTCCGAAGTACCATGAAGAAGCAAGCAAAGCTTTCATGGATGGAATCAGAACCATGCTGGGTTAGTCAAGAAATAACCTAGTCAAGCCAGATAAGATATAGTTTTTAAAAGTCTGTTGCTTCTTCTAAAGAAATTAAGCCCATGGGGGGGAGACTGATTTTTGAAGAATCTGAGGAAGATTAGTCTTTTCAAGAATTGAAAGCCAATTTCTTTTCTTTTCTTT